TCGAGGCACTCCTGTCCAAGGCTTGGTTCACGTTACTGCATGTCATGGAACGCATGCAGAATCGTGCTTGTTCATGACACGCAGACAAATGCTCTGCTCTTTGGGGGTGCCATTAATTGTTAGTGGTACCCTGCACATTCGTATGTATGTGTGTCTGTTTGTATATATATGTGTGTGTGTGTATGAACATTACTTTTAATCCTGACCCCCCCTATTCCTGTACTATCCGAACTGCTTTTTTAGGTTTTTTTCATAATAGCAACATGGGCTGCTGTTCCTCTGAAAAGCAGTCCATGCTCAGATTGCTTATCAGAGGAATTTGACTGGTGGTAAAGAGGCAATGTGTTGTTCCCTCACCACCTGCTTTAACCCCATAAATCCAGCATCACCACACCAAAACCACGTGCAATGCACACAGTTGCATGGTGGTTGCAATGCAGCCCCATTCACCTGGGGGTGTACTTCCAGCCATGGCAACATCATGTGTACACCCCCAGCTGTTGCCTCTGCAGCTAAAGGAGGAGCAATTGGGGCTGGTAAAAACTGCTGCAACCATGTGACTTTACCACCCTCAACTGCACATGTGAACAAGCCCTTGGTTCACATCTGTGTGGCAGCATGCTGCTTGTTGGGCAGCCCATTCATTTCAGTGGGCTGCCCTATCCGCAGAAATGCAGGGAAAGAAGTCCCCGACCCTTTTTTTTTTAAATTTCACCACACCAAAACACCCTACGTTTGCGAATGTGCAGGGTACCACTAACAATTCATGGCACCCCCAAAGAGCAGAGCATTTGTCTGCGTGTCATGAACAAGCACAATTCTGCATGATTCTGCAGGAAGCCGCAGGTAACACGCACAAAAAACACGGGTACCCTGTGCTGCACCCTACACTGTGGCCAAAGTGCAGCAGGGCATCCTGTAAGAAGCATACAAAATAAAAAGAAGTGCGGCACAACATTTAGAAAGTAATTCAAACCACATAGTAAACAAAAAAAAAGTATATACAATATATATATATATATATATATATATATATCTTGACTGGACACTAGATTACATGAAAACCAATCACCAAATCTGCAATCATCATGTCTGCTACTATCACAAATAGCTTGTACCTCCAAAAGTTCATATTCAGCACACAGATGAAGAGCCTTCTCCCTGTGTCTTTTTCTGCCCTTTCACATGCCAGCATGTGCTGCCTCAGCTGCTGACAGACGAGCACTGTCCACCACCGCAGATAGAGCAGACCGCTAGCCACATGCACTCCCAGAAAGCCGGTTGGCAGGGCGGGCTACCCACAGAGCTTCCTGAGTGCAGGTGACCTGCATGAGCAGAACAGCACTGTTGTAAAGAAAATACAGTACTGGTGTTGAGAACATTCTATTCTGCATGGAGTGGGGAACTTTTTGGCAATTTTCCTGTGGCACCCCTAGGGGCTCTTCGCGGCACCCCAGTTGAGAAATGCTGGCATATAATATATATATATATATTTTTTTTTTTTTTTTTTGCTATATTTTTTCCATGAAAGTGGAGTTATTCGTAGTGCGGTAGTAAACCACATCCAAAAAAAAAAGGTAAAGGCATGATGTGGTAGTATGCATTGCATACTAGCACATTATGAAAGACTTCAGAAAAAATGAGGAAGGGTTGTAACAGCGCAAACACTGCAAAGTCCTGGAAAATGGTAGTATGGGGTGATTGTGGTATTAGTGGCTACTGTATGAAGAGCGTAAGATTCCGTGTGGCACTGAGGGCAAGGCTTCCAAATAATCTGTAGCAACTTCTGTAGATGAGAAAAAGGAGAGAAGCGCCTCTAAGTGCAATAAGTCTTTTAATTCAAGTCTAAATGTAGAAACACTCACATGTGTGAAGTAATCATAAGCATAAAAACCGTGGTTAACAATAGTTAACGGTGGGGTGGTAACTCGGGTGAAGAGCTGTCATCTCTCTGCAATGTGGGGAGGTCAGCTCTCGGCTGGAACAGCGTGGTGGCTGGAGGGGAACAGCGGTGAAGCCGGCCTGCATGCACGTCCTCCCTTAGAGCCGGATGGACTGCGGAAGTGCACTCCTTTTTCAAACTGCTTGAAAAAGGAGTGCACTTCCGCCTTCCACGGCCAGTGCATGCTCCGAAACGCGTCGCAGTGCACCCTGGGATCTGACGTCATCACGGCCACGCCGCCGCTACGTTCCAGCGTGCGTTTTGCGACTTGAATTAAAAGACTTATTGCACTTAGAGGTGCTTCTCTCCTTTTTCTCATTATGAAAGACTTACTTTGAAACAAATCCCTCCAATGGAGCGCTGTCACGACTCCCCAGGGCTTCCATCTTCACTCGTTCTTCCTTCCGGGATTATGAGTTCTGGCCGGCTGACTGGCCGAGCTGCGATGACATCCCAGGCCACGGCACAATGCTCTGAAGGAACAGCACGGGTATGCCATTCTTTCAGAGAGCGTGCGCCAGCTATCAAAAAGGGCTAATATCTCCTAAACGTGCACCGTTTTACCTACAGGTAAGCTTTATTATAAATTTACCTGTAGGTAAAATTATTAAAGAAGAGTTTACTACCACTTTAAAGCTGCACACTTTCACATAGTGGGAACAAGTGGTCCCGCTCGCGATTTTGGTTAGGGATTTGCACATGATAATGGCACCCAAAAGCGTGTTGCGCATTGCGCAGAGACTGCCATGTGATTCTGCCTGTGATTCCAAATTGCGAAGTGTGAATGGAGCCTCAAAGTAAAAAAAGATACATTAAATGAACTACTAGTAAGCTTCACAATTTCTATGTAAAAGTATGCATACTGAAACTTGAGATGTCAATATTTACAGTATGTAACTTTGCTGTGCAATCCACTGTTATAATAAAGTTGCTATATTAAGTAAAACAAGGTGTCAGAATGACAGATGATAATTATCTTTATTGCAATTACAGGACAGGCAGTCTGCTGTGTATCTGAAAATGTCACTGCCCACAACAGCACATTCAGTTTCAATAACTTTTGCTGTACTATTCCACTACAAGTTTACATATTCATTCATGAATAATATTAAAACTATTTCACAGTTTCATAAAATAATAAAGTTTATGTTTACAGATCCTATACAGTAAAAGATTTTAGGTGCCTCATTTTTAATCACTGACTTAAAGCCTAATTCTGGACATTTAAAATAATTAAAATTGTCCTCCCCACCCTGTCCCAGCTGATGAAGGATACATTGGGGTGCCCACAAGTCTAGTCATAGACCTGCAAACAAAGTGGCTTTGGGGGACTAGTTGTTACAAAGTGTGCATTACTCCATCCCCTAGATAAAAGTACTGGATTCTTCAAATGTTCACATTTTCTGAAAAATAGCCTTTACAGTCAAAGGGTTCCAGTAGGTATTAAAAACTGTGCAACTTTATAATATGTTCCTAACGTTTTCTGTTATACCTGTAGGCCATTTGGAAGCCTGGCTAAAAAATCTCAGTTAGTAATCCTCACATCCTGCCTTCTTCTTGCCAGGGTGTGCAAACTAACCCCCATCTTTGGGGAGTGAAATCCAACAGGTTTTTCTGAAGTCAGATGGGGTTAGCCTTTAAATTGCAATACAGTTTGTCTAGTAATTGTACATTATATACTGTATATATATTTTTTCTATTTATTTGCCAATATTTTTTTTTTCATGAAAATGGAGTTATCTTTCAAAGTGAAAAATGTTACATTAAATGAATTATATAAATAATATTTAAAGTAAGCTTAACTAATTAAATAGCAAATGAATGAATGAATGAATTAATAATTAAAGTAAGCCTCACAATTCCTATATAAAAATATGCATACCCTTACTGAAACTAGTTATTCAATATTTATTCAATATTTACAGTATAGTGTAACTTCACTGTGCAATCAGCTGTTATAATAAAGTAGCTATGGTATCCTTTTACCATGCTGCGGTAAATGACCGCTGCTCAGTTCTCAGTTCTCCGGCATTCTCAGAGGACAGAGTTTTCTCCTCTGAATGCCTTTTTATGAAGCTGTGTAGATCACTGCTCCGAATGAAGGGAGAAGCGATCTACAAATGCTTTGAACTCTAGAAAACGGCTGTTGTTACTATAATCTCACAAGATTACATTAAGAGATCAGTCAAACACTGTTTACTAAGCAGCGGTAAATTATCGCTGCTTCGTTTTCAGTTCCCCCAATTCTCCACCTCTGGGCTGGAGAATCTGGAGGGAGAACACATCGCCAGTGAAGGTCTGACATCACTCCTTCATATACTGGCCATCTGTGTGCTGAGATGATCAGTGGAGAACATGTTCTCCACTGATCATCTCTGTTTCGTAAACCACTAATGATTGGAGATCAGCAACAATCTTTAGGATAGCTACTGATCTCTGTTTCATAAAAGGACACCTATATTAGATAATATAGCTTCAAGGTAGCATGTGAGGATTACAAACTTTAAGGGGCGCACAAATCGCCTACAATAAAATTAACAAACATTTTACAAAATTGCACACATTTTTAGCACCTACTTGACAGCATAGGTAATTTTCTGGAAAAGGTGTACTTAGCCTTTAACCACTTGCCCTCCAAAGGATTTACCCCCCTTTCTAACCAGGCCATTTTTTTCGATACGGCGCTGCATTACTTTAACTGACAATTGTGAGGTCATGCAACGCTGCACCCAAATGAAATTTATGTTCTTTTTTTCCCACAAATGGAGCTTTCATCCGGTGGTATTTAATTGCCTCTGAATTTTTTATTTTTTTTGCACTATAAACAAAAAAAGACTGACAATTGTGAGAAAAAAAACAATATTTTTGCTATTAAACATGTCCAGTAAAAAATTTTTAAAACATTTTGTCATAAATTTAGGCCAAAATGTATAGTGCTACATGTCTTTGCTAAGAAAAATCCCAATATGTGTAAATTAATTGGTTTACATGAAAGTTATAGCGTTTACAAATGGCGGTATATATACTGGAATTTTTTTTTTAAATACTAGCAATGGTGCGGGACTGCGGAGGGCATTCTGACACTGGGGGGGGGACTGACTAACTGTCACTGACATCCCCAGTGACACTAATACAGTGATCAGTGCTAATAAAAAGCACTGACACTGTACTAATTACACTGGGCAGGGAGGGTTAACATCTGGGGCGATCAAAGGGTTAACTGTGCGCTGTGTGCTGTTATACTATTGTGTATGTGTGTGTTGTACTGTGTAAGCACATTGCTTTGTATTGCTCTGCTATGCAGAACAATAAAAAGCAGTGTGCTGCAGCTACAGGGCAGAGATCTGTATTGTTTACATACAGACCTATCCCCCATCAGTGATACTCGGCGATCGCCAGGTGCCAGTGGGGAATCACCGGCCATCGACAGCTGAAGCTGCCAATGGCCCCCTGCCCGGAAATGCAAAATCACGTGTATATATACGTGATTTTGCGCAACCCCGCCACCCTGTAGCAGTATTTCTGCTATAGGATGGCGGGCAAGCGGTTAAAGCCCAACTTCAGAAAACTTGAAAATTCTTACCCACACTGCAAGGGTTAACTGCTCGTTTAGGTCCAGGGGCAGGAAAAAAATTGGATTTATTTAATTGATCCTCCACTCCTCTGTGCTGCCAGACTGTTTCCTGCACCGTCTTCTCCCCCATGCTCCAACAATCTAAGGTTCTGTCATCATCAGGACCATTTCAGAGTCAATAGCCCTGCACTGGGTGTGAGTACCTCAAGGAACAGCCCACTGCATAGACGAGTGCCATTGGCCATGGGATAGGAGATCAAGTAAGTAAAAGTGCTTTTATTCTTTTTTAGAGATAAACGAGTAGTTAAATCTTGAAGTGCAGGCGCAACCCTAACGCAAGGGAGAATTTTCAGATTTTACAAAGTTTGATTTTAAAAATATTCTACCTGTCTGGAGTTGGCTTTAAAGTTGAACTTCAGACATATAAAACATACTTTAATGTAATTGAGTATTTCTTTAAAAATCATTTAATACATTTTTACATACAGCTAGCATACAGAAACTGGTTTCATCACACTGGCTTTGCTTTCAGTGTAGGGTATATTTACTAAAATTGGAGTGCAAAATCTGGTGCAGCTCTGCATGGTAGCCAATCAGCTTCTAACTACACCTTGTTCAATTAAGCTTTGACAAAAAAAAAAAAAACCTGGAAGCTTTTGCACCAGATTTTGCACTAACACCATTTTAGTAAATCTCCAATATGTATTCAAGACTTGACTTATTATTGTAAACTAACCTGTTTACTTTGTAGAGCTCAAACCGTAATTTAAGTTTGCTAAACAGATGCTCTGCAAATTCACCGACTTCACATATATATCTCACGAGAGAACTAATGTATACTGTAATGCTTATTGATTCAAATAACACAGCAGAGAAGCGTATTAATTTAAAAGTTGGTTTACCTTAAACAATTTTTCCATTTTCATTTTGAAATCAATTTGTTTTACTTCAAAGGTAATACAAAGTAGCCATTTTTCTGCTGTTAATAAAGTGCCTGCAGGTTTGAAGTTTTTTGAAGTTCTTTTTTACCATTTTAAAATGATTTTTAGAAAAAAGAAGCCCTCATTCTCATTGACTTTGGCAAACCTGAAATGATATGCCTTTATATGTGTTGCATTTACAGGACATTTAGAAATGGATATAGATTTTTAAAGGTTTAATTCACACTTTGCATTTAAATGCGTTCAGGTGTGTTCAGTTTATTTGCGTTTAGAGAAAATAGAGTGCTATGTATCCAGGGACAGATTAGATACTCTAAACTCATCTAAACACATACAAAACGTGTGATCACATGTAAACACAAGTACATTTAAACACAGGAGACGTTAATGTGGCAAGCATAATCAGGGGAATTCAATCAATATTATTATTATTATTATTACTATACAGGATTTATATAGCGCCAACAGTTTGCTCGGCGCTTTACAATATAAATGGAGACAATACAGCAACAATACAGTTCAATACAAGAGGGTTAGGAGGGCCCTGCTCCTTTGGAGCTTACAATCTAAGAGGGAGGGGCATTTGCTTTACTTTTCTGGTGGTGTAGTCCTTTCAATGGTTCTGTGCCAGATTCAAAATGAATGCCCTCCCAGTAGCTTTACCGAAACGGGGAGCAGATTCAGGTAGTTCATAATAGTGCTATTACTGTACCAAATTCAAAAATAGATAATCATAGATATAAAAACTGGAGGTAAAAAAATCCTGACAGTATTTCCTATTCTAAATAATGGGGCACACCAGTAGGCATTGAACCCCATTTGAAAAGCTTTAAAGGAGAATTATGGCCAAAGCTCTTTTGGCCATACATCTCCTGTGGGTCACTGGAGTGCACTTAGTTCTGCACTCCTGTGATCCAGATTCAGCCAACATTGAGCTAAAGTCCACTGTTGGCTGATGTCACAGAGCCGGTCCAGGCTCTGCAGGGATCCTGACAATAATGTCAGGATCTGGCCAGATGGCTGACCAGCAGCTTGGTCAGCCTCTCAGCATGCCGCTGAAAGCCTAATCCAGCCTCTTCTGCCCCTCCACAGTCCAGTGCTCTAGTGAGTGCAGAGCACAAAGCAGTGCCTGACAGTCCCCACCTCTCTGCTCAAAGGTGGGATCCTAGAACTGCGCAATCGGCAGCATTTGATTGCACAGCTCTTGGTGTGGAGCCAACTGGATCCATGCTGGAGCCATCTAGGTGAGTATGTATGTTTATTTTTTTTAAAACCCGTACTTCTCTTTTAAATATTTATCAATAAATACATTTTTCTTTTTAATAATGTGGATCATGTGACTTTCTGTTCCTTTTTTTCTTCAAAACAGCCTGAGCAGGGCTAAGACCAGAGCAGGTCATATGTCATTGGACATTGCCTCAGCTTTTTCGGGCTCTCTCCCCAAGTCCTGCAAAGCAGAGTGGATCTATCAGTCGTGGATTTGATCCATCAACTAAGGCTTTCAGACGGATCAGGTCCTTGACTGACAGTTCAAATCCACTTTGCACAGTCAGGGAGATGGCCTGAAAAAACAAGGACATGTGACCTGCTCCAGCTCAGCCCCCCCACAAATCAGGCTGTAGTAACTGGTGGATTTCCTTCACAGTAATCCATGTGTAGACAAAGCTTACTTACTTTGAACGAGGGCAACATGTGCAGTGTGGTGGCAAGTGTGGACAGGCACTGGGAGCCTGCAGATTGTTGCCACCATGCCCTTGGTGGTAACAAGCTACACAAGTAACTTGATTATAAATAAATATTTTATAGATAAAGTTAAAAAAAAGGGCACAGGCACATTATAATAAGTATTAGGAAGGGGTTTATTTATTTATTTTCATTTATGTATTCAAAGTGACACTTTGAGACCAAGTGTAAGTTAGAGTACAGAGACAGGCAGAGGGCCCATCTATGTATGCAGTGTAACAGGGCTGCAAGTTTACTGCCACTACTTCTTACCAGTACCTGTTGCTGGTTGTCAAGGTGTTGTGCAGCTGACAGCCTCCTAACAACCAGTGATGCTGACAGTGGGAGGAGCCTAATGAAGAAACTGAGACACTAGATTCCCATCAGGTCTACTCTCTCCTTGTGATTGACAGTAGGCAGTGGGAAAAGTCTGTTTTCAATAGCAGGCTGTCTATTGGCTATGGTTCCTTCCATGTTATCAATCACAGGTAGAGTAGACTTAATGGGGGACTAGTGTCTCTAAATCCTAACCAAGCTCTGCTCACCAAGCTTCAGTAATCCTCTGCCACTGTGCTGTCTGTGTGACAGCTGCAGGGATGAGGAGGGAGCTTAGCTGCAAGGAGGACAGAGTGTCCATATAGACACTCCAGTCTCAGTGCAGTTCTGCATGTGGCACCTGGCCCAAATTCATGTATGCAAACCTGTTGCCTACACAGACACTTTTAATGCAGAGGCACAGTTTAATTTTAAAGCGTGTCGTAGACACCCTTTTGAATTCCCCTGAATGTTTGTCTATACTTTCCAGATAATTTCTCTTTCATTTAAATAAACCAAATTCAGTAGGTTAGTATGAATTTAGCCTAAAGAAAGAGTGTTACCTCAACAGAGAGACCAGCCTGGTGAATTAGGCATACATACTAGTATCACAATAGTGGGACAGCTGATGTGTACATTTCCCCATGTTGTATGGATGCCAGCCTACATGATCAACAGAAATGTGGCAGATATTTTAAAAGAAAGAAAAAGTCCCACACAACTATAATGGTAAAGGGTACTGTGCTCTTCCACGCCTTCGCTACACCAAATGGAGATGCAGGACTGTTTTTATTGCATTACTGGATTGTTTAACTAATCATAGCATGGAAATCTCCCAGAATACTACACTCCACTAGTATTTTTTAACATTGCTAAGACCTCAATAGTTTGAAATGCATCAGTAGTCTTGCTCTATCGATGTAGGATATTAAATAAACTAGGGTTACACCAGTACTGGTATCAGTATTGGTGCTGATAGTAAGCATTTGCACAAGTATCGGTACTCTCTGCAAATGCTCTGATACCTGAAATCAATACCTTCAGGCTCAGCCCTTTCATCTGTCAACAGGATTCCCCACTGATAGCTGAAATGTAAATTTAAAAATGGCCAGCAAAAACAAAAAGAGGCCAGCAATTACTGACTGTTAAGGAGCGGGGTAGCCACATCCTTAATAACCGATGACTCATTCAGCTGTCAGCGGGGTTCCTCTTCTGAAAGACGGCTACAGCGCGGTTGTCCAGTCATGGGAGGGTGTCCATGGACATCCTCCCAGAACATCCATGGACAGCCTCAAGCTGATCGGACACAACTGATCACAAGACAAGGTAAAAGGCCAATCACAGTGGCCTTTTACCATGTGATCAGCTATGTCCGATGACACAACAGATCACAAAGCAAACACAGTTGCCGGTTATTGGCAGCACATTCCTCACGCTGTCACAGCGTGAGGAAAGTACTGCCGATAACCAGAAAATGTGACAGAGGAGATCTCTACTGATAATCAGGGCACTGATTATCAGTGATCTGATTATCAGTGCCATCCATCAGTGCTGCCCAGCAGTGCTGCCTGTCAGTGACCAGCAGTGCCGCCAGTCAATGCCTCCAGTCAGTGCCGCCAGTCAGTTCCCTTCAGTGCCGCCCATCAGTGTCACCTATCAGTGACCATCAGTACCACCTATGATCAGTGCCTCCTCATCAATGCCCACCAGTGCTGCCTCATCAGCACCACCTCTTCAGTGCAACCTTATCAGTGCAGCTGATCCGTGCTCATCAGTGCTACCTATCAGTGCCACCTCATCATGCCCATCAGTGCTGCCTATCAGTACCCATCATTGCTGCCTATCAGTGCAACCTCATCAACGCACAATAGTGAAGGACAAA